GACCTTAACTCACGTGCTTAAGCCTTAACGAACGATACTTATAAACCCGTTAAGTTTACTATTGGAGCTAAATTGGATCTTATATTGCATTCGCTCTCCCTACAATAGTAACACTAGCCATGACACAAGTCGTGGCTTCAATAATTATGGTTAACATAATCTAGAGCTATGACTAAAAAGCCGATTCAGTTGCAGCTATTGCTGAGTCATAATTAAAGCTGCAACACCAAGTTAGCTTAAGTTGCAGTTAATTCTGAGTCATAGTTAAAGCTGCAACACTGAGTTAGCTTAAGTTGCAACTTATTGGCTTTGGTCGGTTAGCTCCATTGTGCAGCTAAATCAACTTCAAAATAAGCCGTTAAGAACAGGTAATTGGTACGAACAATAATAAAAAAAGCAGTCACTTCAATTGGTTGAACGTTTGTTATGGTTAAACAAATTTCATACTATATATATATATATATAGTGTTATGTGATGAAGTTTAAGTGCAGAATTTCACGTTTCATTGTATTTAATGAATCGTCCAATCAGTTATGAGATTTTGCACGCGCATATCACTATAAATTCATAGTAAACCATATATTCGTAATATTACACTTAGTTCCTGTTAGGATAGATACCAAAATATTAGCATCAATTATATAAAATATTAGCCAATAAGGAGATTATATGCTTTAAATTGACCAATCAGAATGTTTTAAGTAAATAGGTAAATATTAAAAAAAAATTTACTTATAATCACACCTCTATATAATCACGAATTTTGCTTCGCCCAAAAGTGTGATTATAAAGAGGTATGACTGTACTCAAAATTTCGTTGTTTATACATGAAGTATTGAAAGCTGAAAGAGAAATTCCAAAAATTTTTACAAATTCATATCAAAATAGATCCAAGCTTTAGCATCTGCCGCTGACAGCTAATAATTAAATTCGGTCAAGTACGTACCAGTATCAGCTGCGACAATACTATTGGGACTGCTAATTTTTTAACGCTTTACTGAGCTGAGAACATCAATTTTCGAATTTCTTTTTAACATAAAGAAATTCGAGTCTGTTCAGATTTCTAACACTTGGCACCAATCTCTATTAAATCTTTAAAAATCGCCAATGTTCAAGCCTAGTTTTATCGAATATAAGAGGTTCAAGGAATAAACCTTGCATATATTGTGCATCGCTCTTCCTAAAAATATAAAGAGCATTGTCTCCCTAAATTTGGGGATTGTCTAAAGCCAGGTATATAGTAATTTATATGCGTCATATGATTTTTAATTTACTACCTGACCTCTAAATTTGGAAAGTATTATGCATACAACGAAGCACAAGTAATAACATGCATCACTTATTAGTATATCTTCATTCCAAATTGAAAAAAAAACTTCGAACTTATCGTTATCTATACACTATATAGTAAAGAATGTCTACATTAAAATTGGAAGAAGGTTCGAATAATATAGAAGATTGTAATAGTTTTTTTAATAAAAACAATTCAAAATTTTTTCAAAATAATTCTTTCGAAAAGCTTGAAAATGTCGGCTCGACTTTATGTAGTAGAACTTATAAAGTTTTTTCAACAAAATGCAATAAAATATTTATTTTAAACAAGATTCTTTTTTCTCAAAAATATACGCTTAAAGATTTTATTGCCGATGTAAGTTTTCTAATAAAAAATATATATTATATGATTATTTATTATATTCTAACGGGTTTATATAAATATATTTTCAGTTAAATCAATATCAGAGAATAGAACTACATGCAAACATTTTGAAATTCGTTAGTATTATCGAACAAAGCACGAACAAAGCCATGTTTGTTCATGAATATGCTAATGATGGAACTCTTCGTCAATACCTTAAACGAAATTTGAATATAATTAATTGGAATGATAAGTTACGTCTTGCAAAGCAACTTACCAGTGCTATAAAATGCTTACATGAAAACGATATTATTCATATGAATTTGGTATTTATTCTTAATTATTCCTTTTGTCTTTAACCAGAATCAAAATGTTAAAATTATCGTTAAATTGTTGTTTTAATTACTATATATAGAATTCAGAAAATATATTTGTTCACCGAGGAGACATTAAATTAAGTGCTTTCCAATATCATCATAATGTTTCTGATATATTCAAGTTTATGCCATATATAGATCCTCAATATTTGGAAAATCTTGAAACGTACAAGTTTAATAAAAGTTCAGATATTTATAGCATTGGAATTCTTCTTTGGGAAATTTCGAGTGGAGTTATTCCATTTAAATCCAATTTAACTAATGATATTAGTTTATTTAAAGAAATTATTAATGGTAAACGAGAAGTTGCAATTATTGGAACACCTACAAAATATATGAAAATCTATACAGGTTATTTAAAATTTTTATAAATACTTATCAGTTATACTGAATTCTAATATTTAATATATAAATTTTTTGATATTTGCTTTTTTAGAATGTTGGCAACATCATTCAGATAATCGACCAACTATTCAACATGTTTTTAAGTGTTTAAATAACATTAATAATTATGATAAATTAAACTTTGATAAAGAATTTATTGTAGAATCAAATAAGATTAAACATGAAAACTCTGCATCAGTGACAAAAAGTTCAAATATAAAGGGAGTATCGCAACATTATCATAAAGAAGTAACAAGCGAACTAAAATTAATCTCTTCAATTGTTACATTTCTCAAAAAGACTTTAAGCGAAAATAATTTATTTGAAGATCAAAATAACATAGCTGAAGATAAAAATGATATATTACCAGTGTGCATAAACAAGCAAAGTGATATCGATAATGAACAGAAATTTCTATATGATCTTTATCAAATATTTATATCTCAATTTAATATTCAAGGTGTTTCAAAATATACTTCAAGTTCTGTAATTTATCACATAAATAAATTTATTAGTGATAATTACCAAATTCAATCTAAAGTTTTTTATCAGTATTATAATCATCAATATAGATCTTGCTTTACGAGTATTATTGGATTTTTTTATGAACATGGAATTGGAACGGTAGTTGATTACGATAAGGCGTTTGAAATGTATAAACAAGCTGCTGATGAATGTAATTTCACATCTAACGATTCTTTACAAAATACTGATAATTTGTTAAAAGAAAATCGGCTTGTAGGATTAATATCTCTGGGTTTACTTTATTTACACGGGCAAGGCGTTGCTATAAATCAACAAAAAGCCTTGCAATTATTTTTACAATCAGTTTCCATAGGCTCTAGTTTGGGAAAATGTTATGTTGCAGATTGTTATTATTATGGTTATGGTGCTATTGAAGATAAATTTCTATCTTTTGATTGGTCTTTAAATGCAGCTAAAGAAGGAAATGCAAGAGCCCAAAATATGATTGGTTATAGTTACGTGTGTGATGCTGGAATTTCTAAAAATAATGATGAAGCTTTTAAGTGGTTTATGAAATCTGCTGAAAACGGAAATTGCTTGGCATATAATAATCTCGGTTGTTGTTATCAATATGGTATAGGAAATTCTGTTGACAAAAAGAAAGCTTTTGAATTTTATTTAAAATCTGCTAATGGTGATAATGGTGTAGGGCAATATAACCTTGGTAATTG